ATCTGCAGCAATCCTCGGGTGGGTGACTAATGCTCCCAGTTGGTAAAAAGGCAGTGTAATCAAAACACTTTTTTTTTAGTCCTTAAAGTTAGTCATTCTCCCAGAGTGGAAGGGTGGAGGGGGGGGCGGGGGGAACAAGCAAGCTCACAGCAGGCACCAGGCAATGCAAACTGCAAGGTTTACCCTGCCCCACAGAGAGACGCAGCCTCCACCCAGGCAGCCCCCAGGTCTGTGGGGTCTGCAGCTTGGCTGTCAGCCCCAGCTAGTGCTTTTGCGGGAGTTCCTGGCTCCCTCAGCCTGGAGGGGTCTGATCCCAGGTCAGGACCCCGTCGGAGTCGGGCTCTACCCTCCTCTCTCACTCAGCCAGGTACTGTAAGGAGCCAGAGTGGTGCGGCAGTTAAAGTGCCCGCTTGCTAGCTGAAGTGGTCGGTGGTTGGAGCCCACCAGAGGCTCCCCTGGAGAAAGAGGTGGTGGTCTGCTTCCATATGGACGGGTAGCCACCAAAACCCCTGAGAGCGGTCCTCATAGTCCCATGTGGTCTCTCAGAGTGTCCGAATGGATGCCTGGACATGGGGGTCTGTTTTTATTTACGTTTTGTTTGTTTGTTTGTGTTTGTTTTTTGACCAGGTGCTGCCACCTGCTGGAAGGAAGCGGATAAAAGCTCCCAGGGTGGGCCCCACCCCTCACCTGGCCCTGCAGACCTGCTTGGCTCTCTTCCCCAGCGCTTCCTGAAACTCACCTTTGTGCCACAGGGCAGTAGCCTGCAAGGCTGCAGCCACCTGAGGGGCACCTTGGAGAGGAGGGAGACCAGGGTGCAAGACAGCAGCAGGGTCAGACTTTCATCCTCACTGCTGAGTGGCTGGGCCTCTGCTCCTGTAACGGTAAAGGGACGACAAGGATGGCAGCCGCCCCGAGGGTTGTTATCAGGGTTAAATGTGAACAGTCGGTTGTTATCAGGGTTAAATGTGAACAGTCGCAAAGGGTCTTTGCTTTTGACTGGTACTGTGGTCCCCCACAGTATTGCCCCAGGGTGGGGGTAGGGGGCTTTCTGAAGCTGGGGTCCTGACAGGAGCAAGTTGCCAGGCTCCCTCCCCTAGGGACTTTTGGTTACCAGCTGAGTGCTTACCTGTGGAGGCACCAGGATTAACTTGTAACAGAGACAAAACAAGTGGAATGGAACGGACACCATTATCTTCCCCCGAGTCAAGCAAGGGCAAACATTGCTAATAAACCACAGACTGTCACCAGCCAACAGCAAGCTCGCCATCCCCCGACCCCAGTCCTCCATTGCAGCAGCACCCCAGGCGGGCCTGGCAGGGACACACAGAGACACTCACACATGTGCCATCCCAAACCAGCCTCCTCTCCTGCTGATGGCGACCTCATGCAGGTCAGAGCAGACCCGTGCTTCCTAGGATTTCCATAGTTGGTTTGATCGCCAGGCCGTTCTTCTGAGGCACCTCTGAGTAGAGTGACTTTCTAACGGTTTGCTTAGCAGCTGAGCACATTAGCTGCTTGTACCACCCAGGGGACTCCCTTGGCACCTCGGACCTAGCTGAGACTCCTCACGTTACAGTCAGAGGAGATGAGCCCCGTGGAGGGAAGAGACTTCCTCTAGCTCTGCACAGGTATGTCTGACCCTAATTGTAACGGGTTTCTGGTTTGCTCCTTCTCGCTGCCCTTTGAGCCATCAACGTGGGTCTCCAACACTGAACCCTGGGACCCTGCTGTCTTCCAGGTTCTCGCCCTCTTGCTCCCTTTTCCCCTTGGTTCCCTTCTGTGGTCCTTGGCTGCTCAGGGAGCTCTGGTTCTGAGGAACCTTGTTGTGTAGGGAGAAATAGACATGGACACATCACAAGAACCTGAGGGGCCTGGGTCTTCGTTTCTCCTGCAGTCAGGCAACTGACCAGCCCTAAGGCACAAGGGCCTGAGGGCTACACTGGAGCTCAGTGAACCCTTCTGATCCCTCAGCCTTAGTCCTGAGATTCGAACGAAGCCTCTCATACACCCACTTGCACATCCTGACTCTTTGCTGATTAAAGGGTCAGTCTTAAGCCTCTGCATATGGAAGTCTGGGAGAGGGGAGGGTTGCATATGCCCAGGGGTGAAGTTCAGAGGGGAGCACATGTTTCCCCATTTCTGAGTAAAACGCTCCCAGGAGCGGTCAGGGGTCTCAAGGCCAGCCTGACGCTCCTGCTCTATTCCCTCCAACATGCAGCTTGGTCCCCCATAGTTGATCTCTGATACCTCAATTCTTTGAGCTTTCTCAGACTCAGACTTCTGGGGAGGAGGAATAGAAGGAAGAGGAGGAGGTGTTTAGCAGGTTTGAAGCGCTCAGGTTAAGCGCTCAGCTTTCACCAAAAGGTCGGAGGTTCAAATTCACCTAGCAGCTCTGCATAAGCAGAGCACTCCCCGCATGGCAATCTGTTCCCTTAACAATGACAGCCTAGGAAACCATATGGGGCTGTCCTAGTCGGTCATATGGGGCTGCTGTGAGTAGTGCTGCCTCAGTGGCTCCTCACAGTAACAAAGGCAGGGGCACCCACCTCTACCTGAAGCTCTTCTACTCTTGGCTTAAAATCAAAGTTGTCCTTTTCCATTTCCCACCTCCCCCAAAGGGGCAGGATCAACTTGCATTGTGCTGCCCTTTGGTAGTAGAAAAGAAAAACATACCCCCTGACCCTGAGTCTAAAGACTGAGTTTTTCAAAACCATAGGAAGTATTGTCCTGCCTCGGGTCCATCTCCCTAGATATCTATGGCAGGTCGGGTTTACAGAAGGGAACAGATAGACCCACAGGAAGAGGTGTTGACTTAGAACCTTGGCATGTGGAAGACTTTGGTGATGTTAACTACTTGATCATTTTATAGATGATGGGACCAATATGGGCCCAGAGAGGGAATACGGTTTGTCTGAGGTTCAGAATGAGTGTCAAAGTTAGAACTAGTCTAGTGCCCATCCTAAGGGATGGACCTCCCTAGAGACCTAAAATAGAGTTCCCCTGGGGTATGGTGCTGGCCTAGGTTCATGTTTTTGGAACTTCTCTGGCACTCCCTGTGGGGTAATAACTAAGAGGGGCAGACTATGTGGGAAAGAGGAAGCATGTGGAAGATCCATCCACAGGTTTGCTCAAAATCCAGGAAACATATAAACACACAGGACTCCATTCCACCCACCGGGTACTCTGCAAACAGCCAGGACTGCCCTGCCCTTTGCCTCCACCTCCTGCCCAGGCTGCAGATGCCTCTGATCATCTTGCTCCTCTTCGTTCTTTAAGGCGGGCTCTAGTTGCTCATTGTGGCCGATTCCTCAAGGAATCACATGGTGACAGACCCGATCTGTGTGATTTGCTTGGGGGAACCATGCCTCCGTGGAAGAGCCCTATTGAGCCAAAGTCTAGAGCCACAAAAATGGAGACAGAAAATGCAAATGAGAGGCCACCTGTGTACACATTCCCCTGGGCTCCACCACTGTTCCTCAGCAAGCTCTCCACCCTGGGAGATCAGAACAAATCACCAAAACCAGGAAAAAACGGCCATCATCAAGTCCATTCCGACTCACAGAGATCCCTCAGGCTTGAGAGGCTGAGTTTGAGCAGACAGCCTCATCTGTCTCTTGTGGAGCGGCTGGTGGGTTCCAGTTGCTGGTCTAGCAGCCAGTAACTCCACACATAGCCCACTGCTTCACCAGGGTGCCTGGAACAAACCACAGGGAGTCGTGTGGGTCTTCTGCTGAAGTTCATTGGTTTAGCTCATTCCCAAGCAGCCCCAGAAACATTTGCGGTCCGTTTGCAGGAGGAAACCTGCTAAAGAGAAGATCCTTGGAGGCTCTGCAGTTGCTTGCACGGGTCTTCACCAAAACACAATGTTGTCGTCGTTAGCGGTCATCAAGTTGACCCTTGACTTGTGGTGCCTCCAAACACAATACAATGAAAGGCTGCCTGGCTCTGCCCTGCCCTCAAAATTGATTAAAGACCGGACTTTCAGGTGCTCCACGGAGTTTTCCAAAAACAGATCACCAGGGCTTTTTTCCTAGTCCATCTTGGGCTGGAAGCAACATCATAGCAACAGGCCAGAGGAGCACCCCACCCCACCCCCTCCGTCTGTCCATCGCACAATATTACTGAAATTGCCTGTTTATCTCTCCCTCGAAGTAAGTAGCTCTGTGAAGGCTTGAAGGCTGAAACCACTTCTCTCTCTCTCTCTCTCTCTTCCCATGGTTGCATCCTCCTCGAAGGTTAGCACACATTGTAGGAGCTCAATTAATAGATGTTAAGTGAATGCGCAGAGAGAATGGAGCCATTCACCTCAGTCAGGTTCTGTAGTGAGGAACACAGAAGAAGTGAGTTGGAAGCCTGGGAACAGCCCCTTCCTTTTCATCCTCCTTTGTTGAGTAAATCCGCACAGTCTTCCCTGAAAAGCACCTCTTCTATTTATAGTCGGCTTTTACCTGCTCAGAGCCCTGTGAAATCCAGAGGGAGAGAAAGGGCTTTTTTGTTCCTTTGTTTGTTTCAAAAGGGGAACGCATGTTACAAATGACAAATTTTACAGGTTACAAGTGTTAAAGATTCAAAAGAGCACGCGGTGTCAAGTGCCCCTCACACCCTTGCTCCAGAGCCAGGACTCCTTCCACATAGGCAAGTACTATCATTGGTCTTTTCAGTAGAAAGCACTAACACAGAGAAAAAGGGAGGTAATTATCCGATTCAGGGGCTCGTATGGACAGAGGAAGACGGTGTTTGTAAGGCAGAACACGGGCCCAGAGCTCTTTATCCTGTAGGATTAGTGAGTCTCTAACCCTACAATCTAAGTCAGAAGAAACGCTGCAGGGAGGAAAAAGTTAATGCTCCAGGCCCCGCCCCCTGACCTGCCTCTTCCGGGCAAAGGGAGCGAGACGCACGTCACTTCCTGGAGACTGACCGAATCCGGAAGTGATTCCCCTAGGACCGGGTTGCAGCTGAGGGAACCCGGCGGCCGGCGTTTCGGCCTTCGCAAGCCAAGTTCGGGACCATGAGTTGGTGAGTGAGGGTCCGGCAGCAGGGGGGCGTCAAGTTGTTCGGATCAAGTTGCGGCTCTTCGCCCACTGGCGCCCGCCGTCCCGCACGGACCCCTCAGCTCCAGAGCAGGGACCACTGACCCGGGTGCCAGGGGCACTAGGGCGTTCAGGGACCCTTCTTCCCGGGGCTCGCCCGCAGTCACCATCCTCTGGGATCTTGTATCCGACTCGTGTTCCCTGACTTCTGTTCCAAGGAGCTGGCCCCGTCTTCTTCCAGGTCCTTGGAGTCGGAGACCTTCCCGGCCCCACCTCTTTTAAGTCTCCTTCCAGGTAAAGTCGATGCCATTTCTCCCTCCCCTGAGCCCATCCTGCCTCCGCTGTCGTCCGCTCCGGAGCTGTCTGTGGCTCTCCGGAGCTCTGGACCTGGCTCACTGACCAAAACACCTTTGCGCCATGTAACGACAGGCTACGCAAGTCAGGGAACCTGCTTTTCTTTGGGGAGAAGCCAGATGACCCTCTCCTTCCCCACCCCGGAATGGGATTGGGATATTTTTCATCATTTCCAGCGCCGTTACCTAGGCATAGTTCGGCTTAAACACAGGACTTCTCCTCGCCGAAGAAAAGCCAAGGAGTCTCAAGAGTAGTAGAGCCACAACTCTAGAACTGTTCCAGTATGGCCAGGGGCAGGGACTTCAAAAAGTTTGTGAAAAAATTCCATTGTCTTTTCATTCATTTTTTCCCCTCACAAATGTTTTTTAAGCCCCCTTGTATTTGGTGCTTGGAACACAGTAGACACTTTGTAATATCGCATGGCTGCTTTATTTCGAATACTCAGACCCCCCCACACACACACACAATAATCCCTATATGCTACTCAAGATGGTTACTATTCCAAAGAGATACACCTTACTTGCTTGCTCTCTAGGACTTCCTTAAGAGGCTGGCCAAATGGAGAACCTTACCTCAAACCCAAGAACAGACACATTCACAGCCCCAGACCTGGGAGGAAGCAGCTATAATGTTGCTTATATGAATACATTGAGCCCAGAGATGTTCAAAATGAATCAACCCTTTTAGAATCTTAAATTGCACTGTTGTAGGGACCACAGTTGCCTCTCTGTCCTTAGAGGCAGGCCAGCCTGGTTCTTGACACAAAGTCACAACACAATTGCTACTGTGAATGAAGAGAGTAGAAGAGCCTTCTGGAAGGCTTCTGCAGGCTAACATCCGGGTGGTCTGTGGAGAATAGGCCCTGGTCACCATCAGCTGCTATGCCAGTGTCAAGGGCAGCTCTCGTAAAATTCCAACCATTTCTGACCCCCTCCTTTGCTCTTCAGACCAAGATTAATGGACAAGGGTCAGACAACGGTCCAGCACATGGAGAGAGGCCTGGAGCCATGTCTTAATTTAAAGGCCAGGCAGGAGCTGCTCCTTTCCCCTCCACCTTTTGCTCTAAGTCGCTGGAAGGGCACTGGCTCCATAAAACACCAACTTTCACGCCTTGTTATAACCTAGTTAGTGACTGGCCAAGTGGCAGTTAGTTCTTCAATTCCCTCTCTAGAGGAATTCGCTCGGTGAGGTGTTGGACCATTGGACCACACGTACTCTTTCCAACAGCTGCTTTCGGAACCCTGTCTGTTCTCTTGCTTGGCTTCTCAAAGGAAGAAGGAAGCAGAAAGGATAGCTACTGTAGCCTACTCAGATTGCCACTTAAAATTAGAAAAAACGGGGGTGGGGGGTGGGGGGTGGGGATTGCACATTGGGAGATGATAGAGCAGAGGGGTAACTGGTTCTTGGGTTGCTCTGAGGCAGGTTTTACCTGCCTTAGAGAAAGTCTTTTCTGAAAGCAAAATAAAACAAACTATTGGTCCCTTTCCTAACATCTTACAAGGCCAGAGGCCATTGTAATTGACTATGTACAAGGGGGTTTCAAAAAGTTCAGAGGAAAAGTCTGTTTTCTTCATGCTCAGTTTTTCCAGGAACTTTTTGAAGCCCCTCATGTAGCAGGAGCTGAGATTTTCATTCTAGTCGGACTAATTTGCCAGGACATTGCACATCTTGGCATCTTCTTGGGCTGAGGGTCACAACCAAAAGGGTGGCTTTGTCCCCTCAAAGCTGAGATTCCTTTCTTTGCCTCCGTAGAGGGCTTCTACGTCATCTCTTGCGTGGACCCTGACCCTCTCTCCCTGAGAGAGGAACAGCACCGGCGCCTTGGTGCACAATTACACTCAGTTCCTGGCTCAATGGCTGGCAAGGGGACCAGGGCTGGGTCCTTCTGATTCACTCTCGGAGTGGTTTTCCTGCTCCCGGAATGAATACACCCATTCATCCTAGATTGGAATACTCAGTGGGGCAAGAGACCAGAGTGACGTAGAGCCATCCTGGGAGGCCGATGCTTAGGGTCAAGTTCACCAAGCACAAGAGATATGCAAGCCATCACTGAATAAGGCCTGCGGGGGCATAGCCCATCATCCCCAGAGGGTAACCATTGTTCTGGGCTTGGTTGGGCTTTCAAAATGTCACACTGAGAAATGTCCAATATTGATGCCCTTTGCACACTGTGGACTTTGCATGAGGAGTAAGAGGTCTTTGTTCTCTGCTTCCTCTGTGCTGGCAGCCCGCCCACCCCCTGTTTATTTAGTGGGTACATGCTACCCTCCTGCACCATATACCCATCCGGACATCTGCCATCTTCCTGTTTGCCTTTCAGCAAGGTGGTCCAGTGCTCTGCCCTAATGAGAAGAGAGCATATGACACACTTCAGATCACTGATTCACTTCTTGGCCCTAAGCCAAATCTCTCTCTCTCTCTCTCATTGTACTATGGAGGGAGAAAGAAATAGAATGAAGAATAATGGCCTTAATCTAGTGTAACTGTCTACAAAGATTGTAACCTTTCCTGGAACCAATCATCACAACTTGATTTCAGGCTTAGAAAAGAGCAAGACACCAAATCCATTGCCCTCAGGTCGATTTTGACTCAGAGCAACCCCATGTGTGTCAGAGTAGAACTGCTCTGTGGAGTTTTCTTGACTGTAATTTTAAAAATAGTTTTATTGTCATATTATGCACAGATCATGCAATTAAGAAGTTCAATCATATTAAGAAGAGTTGTGCAATAACCACAGTCAATTTCAGAACATTTTCTTCTTTCTCGTACTCGTTAGTTTCCCATTTTGCCCCCAGCCTTCCCTGTCATATCCCTAGGTAATTATTAATCTAGTTATTGTCTCTAGAGATTTATTTATCCTGGATTTCATATACAGAATATCAGGGTGAAAGAAACCAACAAGAAAAAGACACAAAATACCCCACATCAATGACAAAATAAAACCAGAAAATCTCAATCAAAAAGAAAGCAGAAAATATTAAAAACTGAAGCAACTTTGAAATGGACCACAACGGAGATCAAATGATGTGATACTACATTTGAACTTCACTACATCTACCTTAATCAACTTTACAAGGCTGTCTGATAGCAGGGTTAGTCACATCCCGGGATTATGGTCAAAGGGGGCGGGATTCACTGGAGGCGTAATCCCTGTGCGGACCTTGCAAATAGCTTTTGGGCTTCCACTGTCATCAATAGCCTTCTGCAAACCAGGTGCTCAGAATTTAAGCTCTGATACCTTTCACCCTCATATTTGGATTTTATTATTTACAATCCTTGGATCACACAGGTTAGTGTGCTTCCTCCATATGCATTTAGTTGACCCCTCACTTAGGTGACTGTTTGTTTTTAGACAAACCTTTAAGATGCCAGATGATATTCTTTCTGATAGCTGGGTACCCTCTGATTTCTTCACCACACTTTGCTATAGCACCCATATCTGCAGTGATCTCTTCATGAGGGTGAGCATCAAGTCAGACTATTTGCCTGTAATCTTTATGAAAGTAGATCACCGGGGCTTTCTTCTTCCCTACCACTAGTTCGAAATACAAACTGTTGGCACTACCTAGGGACTTTGATTCCAACTTACAATGAGGAAAAGGCATACTGAAGGAAATCATCTTTATATAGGGCTCTAGTCGTTTGCCTTAGAACTAGAAAATTAGAGGCCACATGGATAAGTTTGGCTAGGAGTCAAGAGTGTCAAGTTCAGGTTCTGATTCAATTGCACCATGACCTAATCAGACGTTTCTCTTTTCTGTCTGTGAAATGGAATGGAGACTCCCCGCCGACGCTGTGTGGGTGTCTGTTGTAAAAAGAATGGAGGCTGACTGGGTCCTTCAGCCTCCAGCTGTGCCTTAAATATTGATAGTCCTCAGGGTTGACCCTCATTTTCACCTCCCCCCTTTCTCAACCTCTGTACACACTTAACTGTCTTCAGGGTAAAGTCCTAACTCTGAATTATGAATGATTAGGCCTTCCTGGATCTGGCTGGTCCCCCTCTTTGCAGTTCTCCAAGTTTCCTCATCACTGGTGCACCTGTTCCTTTGCATGTGCTCTTCCCACTGTCTGCGTGCTTTTCCTTTCCAGCCCCATTCACCAGGCGCATCCTGTGGCTCAGATCTTCACTTCCTCTGACTGTCTTTTGTGAACCACCGTGCCCTTGCCTTACTAGGTTGGGTGGGGCATCCCACCCTGCTCCCTTTCTCACCCCCATGTAGTATCTATACTCAGATTATTGGTTTATGTGTCAATAACTCCACTAATCGCCTAGGAGTTGCTGGATATGGGGACTGACTGGCCATCGGTAAATGTTTATCGAAGGCAGGAATAAAGACTTGACCCCTACCCCCACCCCCATTGACTGACTTTCCTCAGCTCAGGATGATTGTTCCGCTAAAAAGGCAGAACGTACTACTGCCATTACTAGCAAATCACCTGGCAGGAGAGGTGGCCTCTGTGATTCCTTCCTCCTCCCCACGCTTCTCCATTCCCTGCGGCCTGCCGCTTCTGGTACAGTGCTTCCACCGTCTGCTAGGTATTGCAAGCCTGCGCCCTCTCTTTGCGTAAACTGCTGGAGAGCAGGGTCTACGGTGTCGCCATCTCCGTTGTGCACACAGTGGGCGCCTCATT